ACTGAGACATCCAGCCAGGTAAGGAACTATTGCTTGTCTAATAATGGATAATCATTTTATTTCTTTAAATGAAGAAACCTCTTGGAAATAACAAGAAAGAATGAGGGGAGAAAGAGGTTTTCTATCCAATGGTCTTCCTCCAACAGCATAATGGGCACTCCTGGCAGAAAACAGCCCTGCTTACATTTGACAAATCCTCTTTGGCGAGTGAAATTCCAGTCTCTTTTGGTTAATAGAGGAGGTGGTTCATTTTCCAACGAATCTTTAATAGTCAAAATCCTATTAATCAGGTCCACTAGTGTATTATCCTGTAATACTCAGGTAAAGAAAGACTATACGAAAAACATTTTTCTGATGCTCAAGGCATCTGTATGGCTCTTCTCCTACAGCGATTTCCAGGCGATCATTCATGTGAAGTCAAAAAATGAAACATTTCCAACATGGAGGGCTCTCATATGAGCATAATGAATATTTCTTCAAGTATTTCACCATTTTGAAGCTTTTCCCACACTGAAAGCATTTCTATCGCCTCTCCCCAGTATGAATTATCTGATGGGTTTCCAACTGGCTGCTCCGCCCAAACTTTTCCCACACTCCAGCCATGTGTGCGGTTTCTCTCCACTATGAATCCTCCGGTGCCTGCTCAGGTTTCCTTGCTGGCTGAAGCACTTCCCACACTGAGCGCATTCGTACAGTTTCAATCCGGTATGAATCCGCTGATGGACCAGCAAAGCTTTTTCCTGGTTGAAGGACTTCCCGCACTGGGAGCACTTATATGGTTTTGTTTCGCTTGCATTATGGATGCGTTGGTGTTTTTTCAAATACATACCTAGGGTAAAGCATTTCCCACATTGAGAGCATTTGTACGGTTTATTTCCAGTATGAATTATCTGATGGATTTTCAACTGGTTGCTCCGCCCGAAGGTTTTCCCACACTCCAGGCATGTATGTGGTTTCTCTCCAGTATGAATCTTACAGTGCCTCATCAGGTTATCTTGACTACTGAAGCTCTTCCCACACTGAGAGCATTCATATGGTTTCTCTCCGGTATGAATCCTCCAGTGGCTCCTCAGGTTTCCTTGCTGACTGAAGCACTTCCCACACTGAGAGCATTCGTACGGTTTCTCTCCGGTATGAATCCGCTGATGGACCTGCAAATCTTTTTCCTGGTTGAAGGACTTCCCACAAAGAGAGCACTTATACGGTTTTGCTTGGGCTCCAGTATGGATGCG